TCGAAGGCCGGGAGCGGGGCCCCCAACCCGGCGCCGCCACGACTCAGGCACAGGACCTCCGTCTTCGCCGGATTTAGCTTCAACCTGCTCAGCCGAAGCCAACCAGCCACAGCTTGCAAAGCCCGGTCCAGATCTTCCGGTCTGGAGTCCGACTGGCCACCCAACATCAGATAGAGCTGGGTGTCATCAGCGTACTGATGACAACCCAGCCCAAACCTCCGAGCCACCTGGGCAAGGGGGCGCATAAAGATGTTAAATAACATAGGGGACAGTACTGCGCCCTGGGGTACGCCACACTCAAGAGGGCGCCTCCCGGACTGCTGTTCCCCAAGCACCACCCTTTGTTCCCGACACTGGAGAAAAGAGACAAGCCACTGTAAGGCCAGTCCCTGTATTCCCACGTCGGCGAGGCGGTGGGCGAGCAGCTGGTGGTCGACCATGTCGAACGCAGCCGACAGGTCTAGCAACAGCAGCACCGCCGAACCACCCCGATCCAGGTGCCTACGGAGGTCGTCAGTAAGGGCGACCAATGCCGTCTCTGTCCCATGACCCGGGCGGAAGCCAGACTGGAAGGGATCAAGAGTAGAAGCGTCATTTTTAGTCTTACTGTATTTAATGGTTGTAGTTTACTTCTTAATATTTATTTTAAAACTGACTGTTTAATGTCGACATAAAGTAGATTCTAAAAGTGCCACACTGTCAGGGAATCACGATCATATTATTTACACTTCCCAGGCAATATAATTTGTAAAATCAAGTTTTGTTTTTTTAAGAATAAGATTACAACTTCATTTTCCTAAAAATTAATGCTTATTCCACAAAACGTTTACAAAGTTCAGTTATTGCAAAAGTTTTTCAGTGTTAATTTTAACATTTATGCATTTTTTTCAATCACTATGGTATTTAACAATAACATCTTATGTCCTTTAGAGGAGAAATTGTGAATTACAGAATTTTACATCCTTGGCTTCACTCAGTTTGGTTTATAACATTCTTCCATTTTCTTCTAGTCATGAGGGTGGGAGATTGGGAGGGGCCTCACAAGTGGAGTAGCCTAGGGCCTCTCTTCATCTAAATCCGGCCCTGAGGGCAAGGTATAAATCCAGTCTCTTCTCTTCTTCTCCTTACTGTATCAACAGTGTCAGGCAGGTTGTGGTGGAGCGACAAGACTTATCCCCCAAAAAGCTCGCAAGTGCCTCACAGCTAATGGCCAAATTTCTCATATTTTGAGTTCTCCCTGAAAGGGCGGTTTAAGACCTAATTACTTGAACCAAGCAAGAGTTAGTGGATGTGATGGAAGCTGCAAAGAAATCTCTCTTAGCAGCTTTCACCGCCACCTTATAGGTTTTCATAAATGACCTATAAGATGCTCTTGCAGCTTCATCACGAGACTGGTCCAAGTTCGCTCTAGCTATCTGAGTTCTCGCTTCATCCCCCTGAGTTCCATTGTATACCATAGAGCCAGGTTGGGGTGGGAACAGAGGGGGAATCAGGGACTGATTGCATCGATGGCTTCAGAGAGCCGGGTATTCCAGTCCTCTATCAGCTCATCTAATGAATCGCTGGGAGGTAACAGATCCTGCATAGCATTCTGGAAACCGATAGGATTCATAAGTCTCTGTGGGTGAGCATAAATCTGCTTGCTGCCTAGACAGAGCGGGATTGGGGCACTCAGCCAGGCTTTCTGAGTAAAGTGATCTGACCGTGGCTTTCTGTCCATGACAATTAGATCCACATTTATCCCCATTCCAAAGATCAAATCCAGGGTGTGGCCTGCTTGATGTGTAGGACCCGATACAATCTGTGAGAATCCCAGAGTTGCCATGGATGACACCAGGTCCAGAGCCTGTTTGGAGGCTTTATAGTATCACCAGCCTCACCCGTGAACAAAGGGGGACACACAAATAAGGGCTTGAGATAAAAAAATGCAGTGCCCAGGCAGGACCCTAACCCTGGTGCCAGGCCATTTGAACAAAGTTAAGTATATACAGTCTTTCCAGTAAGATTCCTGTAGTCAGGTAGATTAAGCCTGTGTCTTTACAGCAGCAGGAACTTATCACACCAGCTTTATCACTGCATTCCCATTCACAGAAAAGTATTGACACTTGAGTTATTTGAGACATAAAATACAGTCGCTGATGAATACATTTGGAAGTCAGCTGTAATATTCTGAAAGTAATTCCCAAATATCATAAGAAATATGCTGCCAACTTGTGCAGCATTGAAAATAATCAGATACCCTTTCAGCAGTCATGGAAATATCTTCCCGTTTCCACAGTAACACTGTAAACTTTCTCGTAACAGGTGTAGGAATTTGCAGTGTAATGTCAGATGGTTGATTGTGTCAACTCAGCAGGCAGAATCCTCTCTTCTTCTTAGCAGCTAAGACTTAACCTGATGATTATTCCCTAAAATGATGAATTCTCGACAAGCTCTACAATCTTTACCCTGCATTGAGAACATACTTCTATAATGACTGACAACCGTATTTCTAATCTGTCAGATTTTGGGGCACAAGTCTTCTTAGAAGCTATGTCCTTTGAACCAACCTCTTAATTCTGTGTGCTGGCATTGGCTTTAAGATAATATGCTCTGTACATGTTCAGAGGCACTTTTCTTCCTAGTTAGTCCACAGATGCAAAGAACAACAAAGATCACAACAGTTAAAATTGTTTCCAGGGATCCACATGGCTGGAATGACGTGCTGCTCAAGCAGGTTTTTTTCCTCTTTGGAAGTCAAATCTTCCACAAGAAGACTATGCAAGTCGTATGACTATGTTCCCAGTCTGTAGTGAGTAATTTCTATATATTCAGAATAGATCCATGAAATAGGAACAGAAGACTAATTATTAGTAGGACTGTCCTCCTTTAGCAAGAGGAGCCAAAATTCAGATTGCTCACTGAAATCAGTGGTTCTTAAGTGCACTCAGCATTTTCTGATTGCTTATGCTGAAAGCAGAGTTTTAGAGCTGTGTTGTGCTGCCTTTGGCTCAAACTGAGCCCTGCATTAAACCTATTACATTAGACTTGATGTACTAACAAGCTGAGGAACAGCACTGAAGAAAAATTGAATAATGATTCCAAAGATGCCTCTGAATCTGAAGTGTCATCTGCAGTTTCCTTGAGTCAGAACAGAACAATCTCAGCAGCAGGGACTTCAAAATCTTGCACTGCTGAGAATGGAGTTTATCTTGTTCATAATTCCAGCATGGCTTTTGGTCAAGAGCTGTGGATTACTGGGTACATCATCATTTAACTTCTCCAGGCATATTTCAGCTGCTAAACAGAAAGCAAGTAAGCAAGCGGTGAGCAGTTTCTCTACATTACATAGGTCAAACAGCAGGGAAATTAGCAGCAAAATGGTATTTATGTGCCTAGGTAAGGCACAGTAGCATCCTCTGCTGGTTGTCCACAGTAAGAATGGGACTGTGACATATATCTTCATCACTTTCATTAGTAGGATACCCATTTGGGGGAGGGAATGGGAAGCAATAAGGGTTATGCTAAAAATTCTGCATTTAAAAAAGAGGTTTAATAAACTTATTGAGAGGGTAAAGTTTTATTCACGGTATGAGCTTTTGTGTGTACACACGCTTCTTCAGTACAGAAGTGTGCATGCACACAAAAGTTCATACCTTGAATAAAACTTTGTTGGTCTTAACGGTGCCACTGGACTCAAACTTTGTTCTGCTTCAGACCAACGTGGCTGCCCATCTGGATTTATCAAGAGGGTGCTCCTGTGAATTCAAAGCTGAAGCTTATAGACTGTAGCTACCCAGAGGAGGAAAAGCACTTGATGGCTTAATGAGTTTTCTTTCTTTTTTTGCCCTTTATTCTAAGCCTCAGAAGAAGAAGGTGGGAAACCTTTCCAGTGCCCAATCTGTGGCCTGGTTATAAAAAGGAAGAGCTACTGGAAACGACACATGGTGATTCATACAGGCTTAAAAAGTCATCAGTGCCCTTTGTGTCCATTTCGCTGTGCACGCAAGGACAATCTCAAATCACACATGAAGGTAAGGTCATTGGATTCTGGCAGTGAAGGAATCTAGTCCATAAAGCTGCCGTTGAAAGTTTAAAATCTTCACCTAATAAAACCCAGCGTGGTTTTCTCTGGTATGTGTATAAGTGCTGTGAATTCATTTTGACTAGCAGAGGGGTGGTTGGGCAGTAAAAGCAGTAGCCTTAGTGATGTCTGCTGCAACAAATTCTTGCCATGTTTTGGCTGTAGTCCACTGAATCCGTTAGCCTCCACACAAGAGACTGCCTGTAGTTCCCTTCTCCCTATACTGCCCAGCTTGTGGTTCTGTGGGAGATGGTTTCTGTGCCCAAATAAACATCAGACGTTTGACCATGCAGGCTGGATGACAGCCTTATAGTGCAATCCTAAAGAGAGTTACACCCTTCTAGATCCATTAAAGTCAATTAACCTAGGAGGGTGCAACTCTGTTTAGGATTGCCCAGTTAGTGTAGTACAAGCAGCTGCATGTCTGTGGTTAACATGCTTTATAAGGGTGAAAATGTAGTTGTCCATAATACAGTGTACTTGCAAGGAGAAAGCAGCCAGGATGGAGGCACTCTAGAGACATGTGCAATACAAGGCATACAGTGACGAAAAGAAACTGAGATCTCATCTATATTAGCTACATGTGGCAAGGGAAAACAAAAGCCTGCAGCAACACCATGCAGTTTCTATTTGGCAAAAAATCCCTATCCCATTACTAATCAAGGTTGTGCTTTAGACCCTGTGCAAGTTAGCAATTTGCAACAATGGACTTCAGATTCTATTTTATATTGTATGCGATATCTAAGAACCAGAGCAGGTATTAGATTTCCATGGAGGTGTTGACAAAAATGCTAGTTCTGTGGTGTTTCGTCCCCCTCTCCAAGGCTGTAACATGTCGCTGGGAACCATTGAGGTGGAATGCATCCACATCTTAGTCAGAGATTATCAGGACTATAAATTGAAAAATCAAGACTTTGAGATCAACAGATTTATTTTGTGGTTAATGTGTTTAGGATTGATGTTCGTGTTGTAATCACTGATAGGTATTCAGGCTAGTTTGTATGTACTGAGCCACGGGAACAAAAATGGAAACTTTATAGGAAAAAATGCTTTTGGAATTATGAAATAATGTTCTTTGTAGTCTGATATTGAATAACGTTGTGACCTTTAGCAAGTGACCTCTAAACGAAGATCCTTATTGTTAAATAATGTTCACCTTTAAGTGTCCTGTATAAACAGAGAGCCATTTTGGCTCATAACACTGAAATCATCTGAGAAGGTCTGTCAGTTGTGAAGGCTCAAAAAATTCTGTGGCTTAATTTTAGCTGAAATGTGAACAAGCTTGGGGAATCCTTGGGATCATGCGCTCCCCCTCTCATTCACACACAGCAATCAAATGTCTTGTGTACAATTTTGGGTCATTGTAGCTGGTCCCAATAAAAGTATTATGTGGACAGCAATCAAATGAAAGAACTTTAGCTTTGCAGCAAGTAGAATGTTGTTACATTCCAAACCACAAACTACAATTCTCATTGTTCCCTATAAAACCAGGATTCCAAAACAAATAGACTAGGTAAAGGGTGAATTCAAGGATTTACTGGGCTTATTCTACAGCAGAGTTAATACTGAAATGATTCTTGCAGGGTTGCCAGGTCTGCGTTGGGAAATACCTGGAGACTTTGGGGGTGGAGCCAGGAGGGGGTGGGGTTTGGGGAGGGGAGGGGTCTCAGCAGGGTAGGGTGCCCTAGAGCCCACCCTCCAAAGCAGCCATTTCCTCCAGGGGAGCTGTTCTCTGTCGGCTGGGGATCAGCTGGAAAAGCGGGAGATCCCCAGGCCCCACCTGGAGGCTGGCAACCCTAGATTCTTGTAAGGAGGCAGGAGGCAGGATCAAGCCCACCAAAGATACGTATAGCATTTGTCTGAAAGTTATTTTTTTTCTCCTGTTGACAACTGAATCAGGTTCACCAACACCAGGATCGTGGAGAGACCTTTCAGTGCCAGCTTTGCCCATTTACCTCCTCTCGCCACTTCAGCCTGAAACTCCACATGCGTTGCCATCAACACTTTCTGAGGACAGAAGCCAAAGTGAAGGAAGAGATCCAAGAAACGGATGTCAAGGTGTCATCACAGCTAAATGATGACTCCAGAATGGGACAGCAGATGGAGGGGGCAGCTGACCATGCAGGGACTGCTGCTGCACTGAGAACACCTGAGAAAACTGGACAAACAGGTGCTGCCATCCCACCTCTGCTGGTAAAAGAAGAGCCCAAAGATGATCACATCACCTCCTCCCCATCCTTTGCTCTCAGTGTGGTTGATAGAATTGCCAACAATGCAAAGCTAAAAGACTCCATTGATTTTGTGACCAATACAGCGTCAGCACTTTTCAGCCAGGACATCTCTGTCAAAATGGCATCAGATTTTCTCATGAAGCTCTCAGGTAAGTGGGTGGAGCTCCTTTTTCTCCTAACATCGTGCCTTTTTGTGTGCATAGCTTCCAAAACTCTTTTTATCGACTAGTCATTCACACAGGATGGAATGGGGACTGAAATCGGAGAATAGCAGTGGAGAGAGGATAGAGAGGATCCTGAATGCCTGCTTCTCCAGCAGTTTTTACTATGTCATCTCGTTTTGTGAAAGAGACATCTGGAGTATTCTTGCGTCTTCATTAAGAGCACGCAGGAGTGTTAGGGTTAGAGCTTGACCAGGATCTGAGGTCCAAACTCACAACTTGGGGGGGGGGGGGAATCAGCTATCCCCTTGTGCATTCTGTGACGATAAATGTACAGACACTGTCTTTAAAATGATGTAGGTGGTATCCTGCCACTCTGCTCAGCTAACAGTAGTGCATTACTCCAACATAAGCACCTTCCTCTCATGCAAAAGTCACTTTTTGGATCTGAGGAAGACTCTTCACTCTGGAGGAGTGTGCCTCTGTTAGCTGAGCAGAATGATAGCACACAGCCCTTTATTTCTGGTACCTTACACCAGAATTAGTATACCAAACCTATGAACAGGGTTCCATTGACTCTTAGAGACAGTGGAGAAATGGGAACATATTTACCTATGTGGTGGCTATGTTTGGTTGTCCAAACTAGCTCCTTATCATCTTGCTACTGCTAGGTTATAATGATGAAAAAGGAGTTGCAAGAACTTATAAGAAATATGTAAAATAACTATCTTTGTGGGTACATCTTCATTTTACTTATTGTTATTTAAAATATTTATACCTGAGTGTTCCTATTTTAGCATGAGGTGGCTTATGATAGTCATCATAGGCCAAGCAACTTGATTAAATCAAAATATAAACGTACAATATAAGAAAAATCACAAAGCTCCCAACGTGAGCAACGTAATAGCAAATTGATCACATGTCACAAAAGAAGTAATACAATGTTTAGCATAAAAATGCCTACATATACATTAGCCCCTGCTCATATTTTGATAGTTCAGATTGTAGAAGACAGTGATCTTTTAGTATTTTAGACTGAAGACATACACTTTGCGTCACTTTAATGATGGACAGTCTCTGACAAGAAGTGAGTTAAATATGGGAGACAAGAAGCTCTTATGCATGATTACTGGCAGTGACTAATTGTAGCTGGACAATGCACACTCTACAGATATTTTCACACACATAGGCCTGTGTGTGTTTATGTGCCTTGTGTGAACAAAAGGCACTTCCACATAGAGGATCTGTGATTTCTACACATTCCACTCAAGATGCAGCCCCCTACAATGTATCCAGCACTGCTCCTAAGGGCCTCCAATCCTTTTTGAGTGGCAAAGTGGGCTACAGAAGATGGGGGGCAATGACAACATTCATTCTGCATAGATGATTTGTTTGACCTACTCTATCTATTAAGCTATTGTTTTGCAGGTGCACCAATGTATAAATGTCACATGGGCCACAACAGCACACAAAAAAATTACAAATAGGATTTGCAATTGCAGTATGTTCTGGTTTGGCATGGTGTCAGTTTGGGGATTGTGCCATTCCTGGTCACTTGTGGGTAGGGTATTTTGCATTTCTTTCTGCTCCCCCACTGAGAACAGACAAGGGGCGGGGGGTTCTAAGGTTCAGGATATCATTTTTATTATTATAATTTATAGTGTTGTATCCAAAAAGTGATATAAAAATTAAATTTTACCCTTCAGCATATTTAGTTCTACCACCCCCAGTCTCTTTTAGAATGCAAAACTTAATAATACCAAAGGTTGTTAACAAACCTGAAGAAAAATGTCCTGGCCCTTTAAAAGTGTCTTAATATGTGGAAATGGGCTGCTGAAGGTTTTCATGGCATAGAGATAAATAACATCACCTGGTAAATAACATCTCATTACAGTTCTGTTAATGGGACGGGATTTTTTTTCTTGGCAGTCAATAATACACACCTGTCTGGAAAGAACAAGCTTCATTTTCTGTTTCCGTGTTAGTGTAGCAGAATTAGGAAGGTTATTATTAAACTTTTTGAGAAGTTTTAAACTTGATGAAGAGGATCAGAAATGTGGAAGCAAACCTGGTCTGTCCTACATGGCATTGACAATCCCCAGCATAATTAACAAATGGCACTTCACTCTGGAGAGTGACAGTGCCCTTTTAAATGGAGATTAATTGGTCACCAACTTCCTTTAAGTGGAATGTGAGTTGCATTTCAGTAAATGTCGTCATTGGCAGGTGAGCCAGAGGATCAGCAGTGCCTTAATGACTCTTCACTTGGTGATACGTTAGTCATGCCTTTTGGATTGGCTTATTGTCTTCATCTGCTCCAAATCTTTGTCCTCTGGGATTGCAAAAACTGTAATCTGCAAATACAAGAACAGAAAGAAAATTTATAGAGGGAAATTGGCAAGAAAAGAATCTGAATGAATGCAGTTCTGAGGCAGTTAATAGGATAGATTTCTGATAGATTTTGGAATACACTTTTGGGATGAATTGATAGATTGTTTAGAATTAGGAGTATACAAGAAAGGGGACCCGTGAAAATCGCAGGGGGGGAGGAGCGGGGGAGCTCCACACAGAGCGGGCGGAGGAGGAAGCAGCAGGTAAGCTTCCCCCCCATCCTGCCGTTCCCCGTCTCCTCTACCACCACCTCCGGCTCCCAGATTCCCCCCCACCTCCGAAGGCTTGCCGGTCTCTCCCCCCCCGCATCTCGCCAGTACCTCTTTCCTATCCCTCGCCTCCGAAGCGAGGCCTGCGGCTTGGAGCCGCTGGGCCTCGCCGGTCTCTCTCTTCCCCCCCGCCACCTCCGAAGTGAGGCCTGCGACTGCCAGGCCTCACCGCTCTCTCTTCCCCCCCTTCAAAGCGAGGCCCGCGGCTTGCAGCTGCCGGGCCTCACCAGTCCCAAACGAGGCCCGCATGGCTTGCAGCCGCCGGGCCTCCCCAGGCTCTCCCCCCCGAAGCGAGGCAGTTAGCAGAGCATTCCCTGCGCATGTGCAGGGGACGCTCTGTTACTTTTGGGGGGATTTAAGTATCCCCCCGATGTTTTTTTTCAGTTTTCAGATTTTTGTGCACACCTGGGGACTGCCCCAAGTGTGCACGAAAATCTCCCTCCCCCCCAGGTGCCCTCGATGCGCGGATTTAGGTATCCGCACGCAGGGGGCGCCTTTCGCTATTAGATGTATAGATTGGTTTGGGTTTTTTTTCCTGTTTAGCAATTACTAATCTGGGAAATAATTATTTCTGTCTGTGATTCTGACATTTTTCAAAGCCAAGCCCGTAAGTGTAACCCAACTATAATACTATTCTGACTGTTTAGATTGGTGGTGGAGGAGGAAAGTACTGTCAAGTCGCAGCTGACTTGTGGCCGCTCCGTAAGGTTTTCAAGGCAAGAAACTAACAGAGGTGCTTTGCCCTTGCCTGTCTCTGTGGAGCAACCCTGAGCGTCCTTGGTGGTCTCCTATCCAAATAACTAAACAGGGCCAACCCTGCTTAGCTTCTGAGACATGAGGAGATGGGGCTAGCTTTGGCCATTCAGGTTAGGGCACAGTTAGATTAATTTTGTTTAAATAATATAATTTTTCATTTGGTAAAATTAGGTCTTGTCTTTAATGAGTTGATGTTAAAGCCCATTATGGCCAAAACAGATAAAAATATACATTTTGAGGGGTGGGGTCCCTTGAAAACTTAATGTACCAAAATTCCTGTTGTCGGTCTATATTCACAACTGACAAGTAATTTTTTAGTTTTTAGCAGGCACGAATGCTAAGGACACAAATGGTAATTTTTCATGCAAGAAGGCCCGTGTGCTGATTTCATAGTGTCTTAACCAAGGGTTCTGAAACCTGGCTTGTGTGCACTGTTACCTAGCAACGTGTTATAAAGTCACTGAAGGAGTGAGATATATCTCTAAGATGAAAATGTAAACTTGGTAGATATGTCAGTGCCACACAAGGGAAAATACATTATGTTGAAAGAAGAAATTAAACCCATTGATCAGCGAGATGTGCATTCAAAATAGCATGTTGACTTGTACGTTTGACCAGTGCTGTAATGCTTATGGAGTTCTGGCCCATAAGCGACAATGTTTTATTTAGTTCCTTGCTATAAATTTACTAGCAACATTTCCAGAAAACATCTCCATTTATTAAAATATGTACTAAAACTGAGTGAGCGCATGGGGATAATACAGTGTTTTCTAGAAAATTAATCTCCCTTCCTCTCCCCCTCCCCCAGCTTTTTTTTTTGGCCCAGGTAGGTGTACTACTGGCTACTTTGAAAATGAACAAAACTGAAAGGGCAATGAAAGATATGCAAAACGGGGGATATACCAGAACTGCACAGCTTTATATATGTTAGATTAGTACGATCTGTTTTTACTCCCCTTGTAGGCAGTAACCGAGGAGTCTGTTGGATAGGCATGATAGACAGGATTTTTACTTGGCCAGACACACTGCATTTGGGACATATAATCCTATTTTTCTTGTGTGGACTTAGGGGGCAAAGATAAAGCTGCTATAGAAATGTCAGTATGAGGCATCATTAGTTTTGCTTTCCATGCGTATACTTAGGAATGTGTTTGCAGTGGATGGTGTGTGTACTATATCTCATCTGAAAAGAGACATTCGTGAGCAAGAGTTTATTCAGTGTTCCACTTTGAGAACTACCTTACCCCAATATCTAACTTGAAGCCAATGCCGATTCAAGATTCTTTTTGCTTCTAGCCTGCCCTTCCACCTCTTAGCTGCAATTGGAGTGTGTCCTTGGGTGTCCCCCCCCCCCCAAAAAAAAGAGCCTTACTTTCAGGCACATGAATTTCAGCTGAGAAAGAAGGTGGTGGGCTTGAGGGCAGCAGGGTAAAGTAGGCAACCTACTAGTTTGAAACAGAGTCCATAGTTTGAAACAGAGTCCATATAGGCCCTGATTCCACTACCACCCCAGCAGACCCAGTCCCTACTGGCCACACCTGAAGGAGAGGCAGAGGTGCTCCTGCTCAGAGAGGCAGTGGCAACACATGTGAGGCCAGCAGCCTCCCACAACCATCTCAGAGTGAGTTCCCTGAGCAGCAGTGTTTGCAGATGCAGAGTACAACATCAGCTGTTGGCACAGGGCTGCTGGCATTCACTGGGAGCAAGGCCAGAAAGGACTCTGATTAATGATGGCATTGTTTTGGGTCCCCAAAAAGTCCTTGCACAACTAATGGACTGCTATGTTAAGAATCCTTTTCACATCTTTTTCTTCTCCCCTTCTTGTTTACATTAGTTTTACTGTCCTTGCACTTTTGCCTCTCTGTCCCATTCTAATTTCTTACTTAACAGAATTTCCTCTCTTCTTTCCATCAGAAAATTTCAGTGTTGTGCAAAAGATTATTTTTTAAATATTATATGTGCCAAAAACAATTAAAAAAACATTGCAGTAACATGATGTATATTTGAGCCGTACTATTCTTTTACGACACATTAAAATAATGGGTGTCCAAACTGGCTTTTGCTGTCTGACCATACTTGACTGACTTTATTAAATCTCTTTCCCCCCTTCTCTTAACAGCTGCAAATCAAAAAGAACCTTTGACTCCTATATTTAAAGTGAAAGATGAACCTAAGGATGAAGAAAATACAAGTTCCTCTTTGCCTAAGCCCAGCTTCGTTTTCAGCCATGAACCTGAAACCTCTGCCCCAAGTATCCCTGAGGAGAATCTCAAACCACAGGAAGTGCCAGCAAATGTATTACGACAGGACATGTCAGTCAAAGCAGCATCTGAACTTCTTATGAAACTATCAGGTAATTATATTCAGCATCTCATTTTTACTTTTATTTTTGTTCTAGCACTGATAGGTGAGAGGCAGATCTCTACTTCCAGTCATTTGTTATTTACTACTACTACTAAGTTGACAGAACTCCAGTATATAATTGCATTAGGACAAACAATATAGGTTCTTCTTCATGATACTCCCCCCACTCAAGTTTCAGACTGTATAGATCTTGTAAACAGCTGTCACCCTTTTGGAAACTGTCGGAAACCAAGGGTGTATTATCCCCATTCCCAAGCCTTCACATATGCATTGCTGCCTCCCGTTCATGATGCAGTGCCATTCAGCTGCAAGTTTATATGCAGCAAATAAACATTACAGTTGTGGACATGGAAATAGTCTTTAATGACTTTTTATTATTATTTACTCCATTTCCCCTCCTTTTCCCCCAATGGGGACCCAAAGAAGCTTACATTATTTTCCTCGCCATTTGATCCTCCCAACAACCCTATGAGTGTGTGGTTGGACCTGTGTCACCCAGCAAGCTTCCATCTCAGAGTCGGGATTAGAACCTGGGTGTTATTGACTTGTTTATGGTGTGAATCTTTAGTAATGTGTGTTGTGCATTTCTTATTTTTAAGATACTTTTAGTGAATGCAATAACCTTGGCCAGAGAGGTCAGTAAGTGTTCAAGCTTGAGGTGTGAATATCCATTCCAGAAAGTGAGCCATAGTATGGGTGTGAAGGCTATTAAAAATCTAGGATCACAGCTGGTATTTTTCATGTGGTTCATGCATCATTCATGTGTCATCCACCACTGTCCTTCCTCATTGTAGGAGATCTTGCATAAATTGAGAGAGTTCATGGGAGGTAGTGTTGCCAGCTCTAGGTTGGGAAACACCTGCAGATTTTGGGGAGGAGCCTGAGGAGGGTTAGGTTTGGGGAGGGGAGGGACTTCAATAGGGTATAATACTGTAGAGTCCACCTTCCCAAGTGGCTGTCTTCTCCAGGTGAACTGATTTCTGTCACCTGGAGATCAGTTGTAATAGCGGAATATCTCCAGCTATCACCTGGAGGATGGCAACCTAATAAGAGGTGGTAGCGGTGCCTCTGAGCTTTTGCATTAGGTTTACTGACAGCATATGTACTGGGGGAGGGTTGGTTCCTCCTTGGCCTCTAGAAGTCCTTTCTAGAAGAAAAAGAAGAAGAGATTGGATTTATACCCCGCCCTTCACTACCCAAAGGAGAGTCTCAGAGCGGCTTACAAACTCCTTTCCCTTCCCCTCCCCACAACAGACGCCCTGTGAGGTAGGTGGGTCCGAGAGAGCTCTGACAGAAACTGCTCTTTTTCAAGAACAGCTCTGCCAAAACTATGGGTTGCCCAAGGTCATCCAGCCATGTGCAAGTGGAGGAGTGAGGCTGAGGAATCAAACCCGGTTCTCCCAGTTTAGAGTCCGCGCACTTAACCACTACACCAAACTGGCTTTCTATGAAGTTTTCAAGCCATGGCCACCCTTGAAGAGTACTTTTTATGGAAACAATATCCTTTTTGACAACATACCTCTGTTTTCGAAGTATTTTCTGTCATTGTGACAGGGTTGGGGAACTAAATAGCTAGTCCTCTGGTCAGTCATTCTGAGGCATGAGGGGAGGAAAAGCTTTTCTGAACAAAGGTCCTGGAAGGCCATACTGGGATAAAGACATAGTTTATTCATATGTTGGCATCACTTCAAACACACATAGTTTACAGCTTTACATATGTCATAATCTGGCAATAATTACAGTGCCTTTTCTGATCTGTGTTTTCTATTTCTGAGAGTGGCTAATAGTATTTTTGGCACAGAGATAAAATAAAGACTAGAATGTCATACAGCCTGAACATCTGGTACTAAATTAAAAACTTTGATATGCTGTGAGTCTCCACAGGCACAGATATTCTGTTCTTCCACCTTGGTGGCAAAGGCTGTATATGCCTGGTATTGGTAATTAGACTGACAAGCAGTTATGTTTAATACTTGAATTGTCAATAAGGACTGCATTGGGACTGGAATCTCTTGATTTTTGGCAAATGGATACAATGGAGGATAAAAGAACAATTTTGTAATCTCTACTGGCTGCCTACTGGGGAGAAAAGCAGAGTATAAATATAAAATAATAAAAAGGAAGTCCAGAAACCTACATTCAAGCATCCAGACAAGGCTCTGTAACTTTTTGGATGTTTTTGAATAATTCAGGGTTTTTTTAGGATTTCTTTTTCCTGCTGGAAAACCTTTATGTGGAACAGGCAATCTATTGGTCCATCTTCCTGTTTGTATCTACTTGCTCACCTAGGCTTGCCCATCACACGATAACATATGTAGTTAGCATATCTGTAATGGTAAACTACTATTGATTGGACATCACTGAATACATCTGTCGCGCTCTCCCTTGGACTTCAGTGCGGCGCCTCCACTGGCCGTGGCGTCGGGGGTCTCGAGCAGACTCTGGCAGGGGAGACGGCCCTTGGAGTGGCAGGGTCCAAAAAGGGAGAGGGAGTGAGGGGCCTCAGATAGGCAGAGGACAGGGTTAATGTCACCCTGAGAGTCCCTCTGCCAGTGCGCTGCGGACTTTCTTCCTCTCTCTCTGCCGTCTTTCTGTCTCTCTAGTCAGTGTCCCACTTCATTCCACAGCGCACTCCTCCTCCCCAGCCCCTTCTCCACCCTGCCTTTTATCTCCCCACCCAGCTCCCAGGACCGCCCATCCGCCCTCCAGCTTGGGCCACGCCCTCCTTTATGTATCTGGACACCGGGGGGGCGTCTCCAGGGTGAATGCTGATATGCCGCCGGTGGCTCTGGCGGCCTCTGGGCCGCGCCGCCACCAATCTGTGGCAGCCCTCGCTGCTCCGCGCTTGCTCCTGGCCCGTCAGACAAGCAGCTGCCGCCCCTCTCTTCTTTTGTGGGGCTGCTCCGCGGACCCCGGTCCTGTCTCCGGGCTCGGCCGACATAGCTCGCCACGAGAGGGATCCCCGCTCCCAACTCACTCCCCGGACCGTCAAACTTCGTCCCATCTGGTGAGTCATGCCTAGGGCGTCTTGCAGGGTTTGTCGGGGTCCCCGGGGCCCATTCTGCACGTCCCGTGACCTCTGGAGCGGGACAACATCTCAAAAAATATACTGTACTCTGCATAAAATATTCAGTTCAGTAGAGATTTTGGGAAAATTTCCAGTAGCATGCAGGGTAATACAACATTTACTTTCACTGATCAAGCACATGTGCTTATGGGTATTGTTCAGATATAAATATGGAAATATATGTGGTGAAAAGAGCATGCTTTCTTCTATTCTCATGAATATTAAATGTTTGTATCTGTGTTGGGGGGATGGAGATGTCATTAATTATTATGCATACAGTTATAAAGAATGGAAAAGCTGTATTTAGTAAACATTTTCTTTTTTTATAATAAAATTTTATTAGTTTATAAAGACAGAAATAGACACAAACATATATCATAATACAAGGATGAATTACTATCATACGTAAGACACAGACCATTGTCTTAGTGAACATTTTCAAGCATCCTATGTTTAAGAAGATACCCATCACAGACTTACAGATACAGTCACTAGGGGCGACCAGAAATGTAATACTGAGTGATGGCCAGGGTGGGCAGGGAGTCTTCAGTATACTCTGCCATGGGAGTAATAGATTTTTTTAAGCTGCTGGCGACCCCAGGAGGTGGAAAGTGCCTCTTTTAAAATGGTGTGAACCTGTACATGTGCTAGACTACAATGTTAGTGTCATGAGTTGCAGAGAATGCCCTAGCCAGACGTCAAGCACTAAAGGGATTCACTTACTTCACGGAAGAGAAAGGAAGCAAGAAAGTCAAGTCTTAAAGCCAGCGTGGTGTAGTGGTTAAGAGTAGTGGCCTCTAATCTAGAGCATTGAGTTTGATTCCCCACTCCTCCACATGAAGCCTGCTGCGTGACCTTGGGCCAGTCACAGTTCTCTCAAAACACTCACAGCCCCACCTACCTCACAAGCTGCCTGTTGTGGGGAGAGAAAGAGAATATGATTGTAAGCTACTTTGAGATTCCCTAAGGTAGAGAAAAGCAGAGTATAAAAACCAACTCTTCTTTTAAAGACAGTGTGTAGTTGCTAAATACGGCTAAAATCTGTGGTCCTGATATATATGTTGCATTACTATCATGTGGTGGTTTTATATTTGTATTGGTTATAATATTTTTCTTAGAAATATTTACTCATCCACTGTAATGGTTTCTTCCTCTTTTCACATTGCCATTCATATGAAATTGTAGAGAAGCCGTACATTAAATTCTCATTCCTTTCTTAGTTTTGAACTCACTATGCTGAAATAATGTATGTTAGAAATACAGCAGACCATTTATTTTGTGTGTGTGTGTTTGTTTTAAGTAATTCAGTAAAAATTGCTGATGGTGGTGTTTCATCAATAGATTGAAAGCAAGGAATTAATGGAGATTTACTTAAAGAAACCTCACAGTTGATCTTTCTGTGCTGGCCAGCATTTGGAATATTAACATCATTCTTTAGTTCTGTATTTCTTGTATTCTTCATGGTTATTTATTTTGAGTTCCCAAACTTTTGCACTTGTTTGAAATAGCATAGAACATAAGGATGATGAATAATATCTTCTGAATGAAAAGATCTTGTCTAGCTTATTTCCTGTAATACCATTGTTCCCAGAAATACTGAAGTAGATGTCACTGGACAGCCCTTTTAAATAAACACATGTGTTCTGTTCATGCTTAGCTAAATTGTTTAAGACTTGGTTGCAGGTTTTGCCAGAAGTACACTATGCTGACTTTTGCTGTTTGCTATGCTGTTGCTTTAGTGTGTTCATGCCTCAGCATACTTGGCAGTAATTCTAATTTGCACTACAATCTCTGTGAAAGTTTGAACTGTGGTTTTTCAACCAAACAGTGTCCCAGTTTCTGGGTTTCTCCTAAGGGTCTGAAAAGTCCTCTGAAGTCTCAGCAGCTATCTTCTAACTCCAAATGCCTTGTGTGGTCCAGGG